CTAGACAGGTTTAAGCGTTAAATGGGTTTTGCGGGCGTTAGAGTGGGCGTGGCAAACTTTTACTTGGCCAATCGATATGTATTGACGAAACAAATACATATCAGTTACTATTTTCATAATAGCTTCAAAACTGTGGGCGATAGAGAGGGCTAGTGGGCGTTAGAGGGGGCGTGGCACCTTTTTGAAATAAACTTGCGCTGCGTAGGAACTCCCAGAATCTGCATGCAAAATGCCAATCTTCTAGCTTTTATAGTTTCCGAGATCTCAGCGTTCATACGGACAGACGGACAGACAGACAGACGGACAGACGGACAGACGGACATGGCTAGATCGACTCGGCTAGTGATCCTGATCAAGAATATATATACTTTATGGGGTCGGAAACGCTTCCTTCTACCTGTTACATACTTTTGCACGAATACAATATACCCTTTTACTCTACGAGTAACGGGTATAATCACTTAAAGTAGGGACAAATTACCATACAAGAACCGCGAGTTCTTGGTATTTTATTCTTCTTTGGTCCCATAGATATTATGAAATACTTAAAAGTAGGCGAAAAGGGCATAGGTTATGGCAAAAAATGGAAAATAAAAGAACCGCGAGTTCTTGGGAAGAGGAGGAACTTTGGTTTTTTTAGTACCAAAACCAAAGTCTTGGTTGCAGCTCCCGACCTTCTGTCCGCTATTAAAAAATCTCAAGAAACCGCGAATTCATAGCCTTTGATAAGAATGGGTCGCTTTTCGAAGATCGTTTGAGCGATTTGGACTCAAGGATCCAAAAAAAAACAACAGCGAATTCTTCAGAGGAGGAATTTTTACTTCTTTATGGTATAGTATCAATTAAAGTTGGGGAAAATAACCATAGGTTGTGGCATAAAATCGAAAATGAAAGAACAGCGATATTATCGATGCGATAATGATAAAGTATCGAAAATATCGATACTGCCATTTATCGATAATTTTCAAGCTCTAGCAGTAAGACTTGTTTCCAAAGGTTTCGTTTTTGTTGTGTAAAAATATGGTTCCATTCTAAAAAGTTTTTATGAGATTGGTAAACACATATGCCAATTCGATAGGCAAACCTTGAACAATGTATACTCGTCTCCCTTTAGGCGTATCAACTCGTCGCCAATTCGGAACTTTTCGCTTATCACAGTGCTATCGTTTAGATAATATCGAGCCTGCTCCGTCGATCCGCCTTCATTGGTCACGTTCAAATATATATATGTTTTGGGGAACATTGTTACCAGATCTTCGGTGCACCTATTATCGGGCAACATATTCTTCCAGGGGCAACAGATCGGGACACAGGGCTTTAGCTCGTCTGCACATTTATGGAAACGATTTAGTTCTTTGGAACTGGAAGTAAACGCTGAATTATCAAATTCACATTTGAGAGTTTCCGCAACTGATGCGATGATGATTATAAACAAAACGGTATCAAGCATCATCATAGGCACCTTCTTATATGAACAACCAAACTTGACTGACCCTTGATGAATAATTTTAAAGATTCAAACCAAATCACAGCTTTATAATAATTTTTATATTTATACACCCAGAGAAAAATAAAAATTATTAAATGTTTTAGGTATAAAAGAAATAAAATATTTATATATGAAACAGGTTCATTGAACCTGTTGTACAGTTCTGGTTTTTCTGTGTGTACAATTCCCCTTGGGGACACTACTTGCGATAGGGAAAAAAAACTTTCCCCAGATGTTGTTTTATATGTGGGTTAAACTGAAATCGTTTCGGGCGAAATTCGGTTGGAATGTTTGTAAGCAGAATGCAATGTATAGCGATAAATGAGTTCTAATATACATGGTTCAAAAGCAGAAAAATCTGTCTTTAGCTAATTCCTCAAGAGAGATCCCACTTTGAAACCAGTGGCATAAAATCCGTTAAATAGGGGGCTTTCTGAGAAAAATATAATGGTATTTTTGCCGACTGGCCCTTCGGACGAAATCCTACTTTTAGACTTTAAAAACGCTATCGCTTGGTCATCTACGGTCTAATAAAATCTATTTTTTTTCTCGTAATCGGCTACGGAAAGGCAGATTTTTCTGCTTTTGAACCATGCCAATTGTTTCTTCCGTTCGCAGGATAAAAATGATTTTGTGTTTTCTTTTCAACGCGATTATACGGCGAAAGAGTGGTAACATTGACAAAATAGGTATGAGGTAAACTATTGGAAGCAAGTGGCTTTGCAATCAATGTGGTACTGTCCACATAAAAAAAAAAAAAAACAAGAGAGAACGCTATAATCGAGTGCCTCGACTATTAGATACCCGTTACTCAGCTAAACAACTTAATAGAAATATGCCTCCTTTTTTGTTTTTCGAAGCTGGAATTAGCTCCCGTTTTTTACCCAGGGAACTCCACGTGGAGGCCTTCTAAAACTTTCAATTCTGCCTAGCACATCTTCCGTCTCTCTCTAGCGCAGGTGAATGCACTTGTGAAAAACGAATACGAGCAAAAAGAGACAAAATGCGCGCCCTTTTCAAATAATTTAAAATTTGCAATAACATATTGTGAATTAGTGTGACCACAGAAAAAAAGGACAAAAAGTTCAAATTAACCATCTGAATAGATGGCGCTATTGTATATTGAATTGAGCCATCTACCCCAAGATATTGGTACTACTGGCCATGAAAGGCGGAAATGTAGGCGCTAGACAGGTTTAAGCGTTAAATGGGTTTTGCGGGCGTTAGAGTGGGCGTGGCAAACTTTTACTTGGCCAATCGATATGTATTGACGAAACAAATACATATCAGTTACTATTTTCATAATAGCTTCAAAACTGTGGGCGATAGAGAGGGCTAGTGGGCGTTAGAGGGGGCGTGGCACCTTTTTGAAATAAACTTGCGCTGCGTAGGAACTCCCAGAATCTGCATGCAAAATGCCAATCTTCTAGCTTTTATAGTTTCCGAGATCTCAGCGTTCATACGGACAGACGGACAGACAGACAGACGGACAGACGGACAGACGGACATGGCTAGATCGACTCGGCTAGTGATCCTGATCAAGAATATATATACTTTATGGGGTCGGAAACGCTTCCTTCTACCTGTTACATACTTTTGCACGAATACAATATACCCTTTTACTCTACGAGTAACGGGTATAAAAAGTGGGGTGGCCGGGTTGACATGGAACGTCCCATATAACGATTTTTTTCTTATCGTTCACTTTTCTTAAACTATTTTTTTTTTTTCGTGTTGACTGATGCATAATGTTTTTAAACCAAAACAAAATTTAACTTAAATTTTACTTTCTAATTTGATTTTTAAGTAAATAACGGGTAAAGTGATACTAGTGATTATGTCTAAATATCACATTTCATATTCATTCTTGATAGAAAATTGAGAAACTTAAGTGCATTTTAAAAAAGATTACGATGAATTACAAACCCTTAGAAAAATAGCGTCGTCTTTGAGCCTGGCTTCTTGTCCTGTAAATTTTACGGTGGCGGAACTTTATCCTTTGGCATCCCGAGGCCAATTTGCCCACGCATTCCGCCATTCTGGCTGTTTAACACATCACCTCCCGTGACACCTGGCTATGTGTTTCCGGCTGGCGCACGTAGCAGCTATCTAAATTTCAATTAGAGTTTAAACCACCCGGTCAGGAGGAGCTGAGCTCCCGTGGCGTGTTTAAGAAACCAGGTAACTGCTGCGCCACCCACTCCGTTGGAAATAACTCAGCTCATTAGTTGCAAGTTCATGTGCGGCAGCATTTTTTCGCAAGCTCAAATCACTGGGTGGCTGAAAAGTGAAGGAGGAAAGTACCAAAGTGCCTCCCACTATTACATCTTGAGTATATTTACAAATATAAATTTTTCTGCATTTTTTTGGCGTTTTTTGATACGTCTTTTGGAAACGGCGCATCATAAATTTGTTGCGAGGGATTTGGTTTGGGGTATCTGGGCAGGTTTTCCTCTTGAGTAACGATACTTAATAAACCCGCATCATTTTCCCATTTGGTACTCGCACTCCATACGATCCCCTGCCCCAAAACCATCGTGTTGCCACTTCCACTTCCCGTTCCTGTTGCTGCTTCCAAATTACCTGTCATTTCGAAATTATGATGCCAAGGAATCGCTGCTGTTGGCTAAGGACGGTCCGCCCCTGGAAGCTGTCTTCCTGCAGGGGATGCAGGAACAATTTTTATGTTTATGGCAAAAAGTGCCTCCTAATTTTATTTTCTTTGCCGCGGGGGCACGGGGCGCGGCATTTCCTGCACACATATCTCAAACTAATGCCAGCGTCGGGCAGAATGTAAAACCTTATGCGTATTTTCCGATTGTAATCTCTAAGCAGGATGAGGGTATGTATCATTTTGGGAATCATCCAGCCCGACGGTGCCTGTCAGCAGGCCTCACACATGGCTTTTTACTCAAGGCAACATGACAGCCCGATGATATCCCCTTAAAGTGGACATTTTCAGCAGGGAGTCGAAAGTAAACACGGCATCCAGAGAACGGTTAATATGAGATTTGCTTTTTGCCAAGAGCTGACAACTGAGGTTTTGATTGGTCGCAAGGGGTGGAGTTGTGTCATAAACCAAATGAAAGTCAAAAAGGCAACGGAAGATGATGAGCAAGCTTTTGACAGATGAACACAAGTTTGGGCCTAGAAATCGACCGTTCTGTTTAATATCAAGGAATAAACTTTGGGTAAAATCTCAAGTTTGGCCAATAAAATTTAACATTGGACGTCATTAATCAAGAATTTGAGGGTAGAATTTATTTATGTTTAGACAGTTTAAACACATTTGAGATAATCACAAACTCTAGAACAAAATGAATAACCCATATTTTAACGCTTTCAAATACCCTGAACAAATCCAAGATTTCAACAAATGTTTTTTAATTCGATTTAAGTCAAGCAGTAAATTAAGTCGATGATGATCTAAAATTTCGGAATTATTAACCTTTTTTCTCTCTTCGACATAAATTTGGTGGAATGACCAGCATTATGATCCTACTTTAAATGATTTCTAGGTCGAAATCTCTGGAGCCAAGCTGCCGTCCGGCAATTTTCCGTCGAGGCTTCGAACGAGGAGCACCCCGGCACAAAAGGCCAAGGAGCACTTGACGAATGACCACGAATGATAGTCCCTGTAGACCGCCTTACACCACTCCATTGGTCTCAGCTGCGACCACAGTGACATATTGGGCTGAAAAAATTTGCAGGAGAACAAACCTAATCGAGCTAAAAATAAGGGGAGGTGCCAATGAATTACGGTTTAATCTCGACGGCTTACTTACCAATTTGTGTCGCGATATGTACACTCACGTCGGTAGATATATTTGGAAAATATGTTTTATCTGCCCAGGTATATAGAGCAGAAACGAATGGCAATTTCATGACACACTTGCTCAAAAGAATTTCTGATTTTGGTTTTGCGTATACATTTTTCAGATTCAGAAATGCAAACAAGCAAGTGGGTCAAGACAGCCAGCCAGCGGGCAGATGTGTTGATTTGGCAAGCTTGTTAATTAGCCAAGAAATTTATTTGCGAACCATACACACTAACTTATATACGATAAACAGATTAACTTATGCACCATGTGCATATTTACTTCACGGAGCCGCTAAAGTTTTTCTCATTACTCAGGCACTGATTGCAAATAGTGCAGAAGATTTGCTGGAAAAATAGAAAATGTTTTTAAATGAGAAATAATATTAGAGCAAAGTACCTTAAAATTAAATTGCAGCTCTACTAAGTTCAAGAACGTGTTGTTTTAGGCTATTTGACTATCAGCTAAAATTTCGAAAATTTGAAAATCGTTTATAATAAAATTGTAAGCGAATTTCATTTAACAGCTATGAAATTAATTTATAATGAAGCTTAAATATTTAACATTTTTGAATTTAAATCCATTTACTTGCATTCCATATTTTCAAATTAAAAATTAGGCGAACTAAGTAAAATTATTGAATTTTAGATTCCATGGATCGGGTGAAAATATAAAACACCGTCAAAAATAATTTAGAAAATGTTCTAATCAAAGAGAAATCGAAGATTTTTATTTTTCGCATATGCAAATCTTTGGAAATTAGTATCAGACGTCTTTAAGAAAAGTTTGATAATAAATTACAATAATAAATTTGTATTCCACTTAAAGGTATTTACTGCATTGCTGAAAGTCTGGAAGTTATATTTTTCGGAGAAGTTCAAGAAATTGCGACAAGGATTTATGGGAAACCCAATGCTACAATAATTAGCCCGAGTGAGTCCATAAAATTCCACTTACTGGAAGCGAGGATCGTGCGTATCCGCCGCAGCCTCCTTGCGAGGATCCCGTACTCTCGAAATGCCTCAGCCAGGACTTGATCACGTTCGTCGGCGGCGTTTGATAAATGCTGAACTGTTTCTTGAAGAGCCGCTGGGCTCCGCTGATCGAGTCGTTGCTCTTGTAGTAGGCGCGTATGACGAACGCCCGGTGCACACCCGTCCACTGATCCATTCCGAATGCAACTGGCGCCGCCGCGGGAGAATATGCTATGTGCCCACTGGCACTGCCAGTTTGTTAGTTCGCTGGTGCGACAGTTTTTGCTAGCACTTCCGGCTCATGGCCGCCATAAAAAAGCGCTCGTTGCCATAATGAAATATCTGAAAATTTTGTACGCAAAAAAATATATTCAAACATTCATAATTATTTGAACGAAATTAATTGGTCGTACCGAGAGGGGTGGGATGGGGCGGAAGGTGGGGGTGCCGATGCCTATATGTGCATCGTTGATGGTCTAAAATTATCCACCGCACGACGGCTGACGCGGCGTATGAGCAATCTGAATTTCTTCTTGTTAGAAATTCATTTGGGGTCGGCCGTGCCTAAGTTTCAAGTGCAAATTGTGGAAGCCCCCTCAACTCCTCCCTCGGCCATCAATCAATCAATCAGGCGAAGCTATCGTCATTATGGTTCATAAGCGCCAGGGATATATAATCATCAATGGGGGCGGGGGCGTAACTGGAAAAGGGGGCGGTGGTGCGTCCAAAATCTACTTGAACTCATTTAAAGTTTGGCTACAACTTAAATCCGCTTTGCGATTTTGGCAAGTGAGTAAGCAGTTGGCTCTGCCAAAGTCTTTAAGCTGTTTTGTTGGCTTTATTCTGCCATCGATGCCCTAACTTGTGGCTTTCGGGCTTTGTCATTAGACGTTTATGAGAATTCCGATTAAGATTGTAAATTAAATGTTTTATTTTGTTTATTTAGAAATATATTTAAAAGGACATGAAAGTTACTTACATAACATGCATTTCGCAATTCAACATTTTTTCCATTTGTATTTATTTCTACTCCTGTTTAAGCTTAAAAACATTTAAGTTTTTGGATGTCAATTAATCTTCAAAGTTTTTTGAAAAATAAATTTAATGATTACTGTCGAAATATATTAGCAATTAAGAATTCTTTACAACTATAAAAAAACAGCATTTTGGTTGCGGGGAGTTTTCAAAACAAGTTTTTGTTGCATACTTTTTAAATGGTTTCCCTTTTCATCTATCCCCCTAATCAAATTAAAAATATCTTAACTATTTGTTAACAATACAATGTTTTTGAAGGTGAGACTGGTGAGTTGAAAATCTAAACTTTTTTTAAAGTCTCTTCTCAGCAAGTCCACCTGTATTTCCCTCATTTTTTCCATGCTTGCTAGCTTTTTTAATAGCTCGTTGCAGTGAAGCTTTTTTCCATGTTTATACGAAAAGTGTATTCAAGATTTTACAATCGAGAAGCATCCTGCTGTTCTTGCTACTTCTTTGTTGATTTTGTTTCACAGATTTTTTCGATTCGCCATTTTGCTGGACCATCGAGCACGTAACTGCAATACAATGCACGGCCATCGCTTAGCTAGATATAGATACATTTATGTAGTTTTTGTTGTAGTGCTGTGCTTTGGCCTTTGTTGCTGCTGCAGCAAAGTTAGCAAATGCTGCTGTCGCTTTGCCATTTACACAGTTAGCCGGTCTAACAGGCGGAAGGGGGCGGGGCCGAAAAGGGGGCGGCCTGGAAGGCGGCCATCCATCCATCGCACGTCCAACCCACTCCTCTTGTCGCCCAGGGTATGTGTGCATCCTTCGTTTCCGTTTCTTTTTTTTTAGCTGTCTCTGCTTGTCATTTTGACACCTTCATTTGCTCTGAACATTCAGCTCCAGTCAGGGGGCAGTGATTCTGTTTGCTTTTGTAACTTTTTTTTGCTCCCTACCAGCCGAATGTGTGTGTATGTAATGGTGGTGTATCTGTGTGGGGCGGTCGGGAGCGTCAATTTGGGTGAACATTTTTTGAGCAGAGCGTTCTGGGGAAAATGCAGCACCCTACGGTCAGATAATAAAGTAGTAAATGAATACATTGTCTGGTAATTGACACTAAAAAGAGATAGATAAAAAAAGTATAATTGAAATATATTAAAATACCATTTAAGTTACAACTCCTTGTAAAAAGGGTCTTGATTTATGAGGAAATAAATGTTATTTAAAAATATATTTCATTTTACAAAATAAAATTCTATTCATTTCAATTCGGAAGATTAAATTGGGTGACTGAATACACGTGGTTTATTTACTAGATACATATAAAATAATTCAGATATTGAACATTGTATGAACATAAAAATTAAAATGTTTCGGAATAAGCAAGATTTGTCATCTTCTATGGAAAATGCGAGAAGTTTTAAAAATAGGCATTTGTACACATGTAAATTTTGTGTAAAAGTTTTGCTGCTTTTTTCAGACAAAGTACTTTAGGTCAATTTTAAAATTGATTTTTATTGTGCACCATCTCGTTCTTTATACCCTTGTAGAGGGTATTATAATTTCAGTCAGATGTTTGCAACGCAGTGAAGGAGACGTTTCCGACCACATAAAGTATATATATTCTTGATCAGCACCAATAGCCGAGTCTATCTAGCCATGTCCGTCTGTCCGTCTGTCCGTTTCTATGCGAACTAGTCTCTCAGTTTTAAAGCTATCGCGATGAAACTTTCCCGAAGGTCTTCTTTCTATTGCAGGTAGTACATGTGTCGGAGCGAGCCGGATCGGTCCACTATATCTTAAGGCTCCCAAACAAATATAAGAAAATTCATTGTAACTTTGTAGGAAGTAGGCGTTTTGATTCTTGACTACTTAAAAACAAAATTGAAATAAATCGAAACGCTGAATCTGGAATCCCTGGAACTACACCGAGTGAGTATTCTTTTATCTACAAGGGTATATAAGCTTCGGCTTGTTTAATTCATTTATAATTTTAAATGGCGCTAGATGAAAAATAAATAAAAATACTCAAAAATTATTTTTTTTGCCAAGCTTTCAGATGAAAATAACAACCATAATGGTTCCAATGCAAAATACGGCCCAAACTAAAAAAAAAATTTTTCATTCGCGGTTTTCTGCAAATCGGCATTTTTTATCTTTATAAAAAAATAGTATAATGTTCTATACATAATTCTTGTTGGCTCCTAAAAGTTTAGTCATGGGACCTCCATTACCTTCTGCATAATTTAATAAAACATTAAAAAACAAAGCAGTCTTTCGTTGTTATACATTAAATTATATTAGACGAACAGTTTCGTTCTTCATGAATTCCGGGAGAACGACCGTTCCCATTTAGGTAAAGCCAATAGGAAAAATGCAGTTTTGTATAACAAATAAATCCCTACCAATTTCAACGTGGGACCTTAACTTCTTGCTACTTATGTAGTTATGAATTTTTTTTTAAACTTTTTTAAAAATCCTTTTTGAATGGTGTGATAGTATCATAAAAATTAGATATCGTTCTGAGACCATGAAGAAAATCTCGATACGTTTCACAAAGAATCACTCATATATGAACTTTAAAACTCTAAATAATTTATCAATATGAGTGTAATAGCTACTATCTATAATATTACATCCTTCCTCTTTCTCACTCTTTAAACCGAAATGCCTGAAGAAATACCCGCATTGTCGTTCAACCCTTGATACAAAAAGCAGACCGAAAAAGAAATCTAGAGGAAAAAGCAACAATGCCAAGACAAATGATCCAATGACTGTCTGACTGCACTTTGCCCCATATCAACCAGCCCAAAAAACGAAAAAAAGAAGCGAGCAAAAAATTTAAGGAAAATGTATCGGGTTAGGTCGCCCTCACCACGTAACCCCGGCTGCTGTCTCAATTTCGGTAAGCGTCCGTTTTTGTATGTAAAGTTGGTGGATTTGGCACCACCCACGCTGGATGATGATGACAAAGGGCAGCGCAAAAAGCAACTCTGAACTGGGTCAAGACTTCATTGTTTATCTTTTCGGAAGCACTAGTATCTGTGTGAGCTAAGAGCCGGAAAAGAGGATTCCCACACATACTCGAGCCCGCATTTGGAACTTGCATTAGATGGTTTCAAGCATTCTTCAGCTGGCAAATTAGCCGGGATCCGAGCTTACGGTTATATATTAAATTTTGCATGGCAAATGCGCCGAAGAAGGTCAAATAGCAGGGTGGCCAGGGCAGCCGGACGCTATCATAAGCATTTCACTTTCCGGCAGATAAACATACACTCCCATTTACATGGAGAAAAATTTATGGAAAAAACCTTTAAATATCATATCCTAAAAACAAGAAAGGAAGTTAACTTCGGTCAGCCGAAGTTTATATACCCTTGCAGGTATGCCTACCTAAAATGTTGTTTTTACATTGTCAAAAATCAAAAAGCCTACTTTCTATAAAGTTTTTTCTATTATTTTGTTAATTATTCCTATGGCAGCCATAAGATATAGTGGTCCGATCCGGCTCGTTCCGACATATGTACTACCTGCAATAGAAAGAAGACTTTTGGGAAAGATTCATCGCGATAGCTTTAAAACTGAGGGACTAGTTCGCAAATTATAATACCCTCTGCAAGGGTATAATGATATTCATATATACAAAAAATTTAATAGCGATTGAAAACTAATTAAAAATAGTCAAGGTTAAAAAAATAAAAAGATTGCTCTTCGGAGTCTTGAACCAGATCATGACAATTTTTCTTTAAAAAGGATTTTAAATTTTTCTCAATTTTGGCTTACTTAAACATAAATTATGACGTACCGTTATTATTGGATTAATTAAAAGCTTAATGAGTCAAACGATTTTTATTTGGCAATAGAATGTATAAGCACAGGGTAAAATTGTAAAATTGTATAACTCCAAATTTGTATACCGCAATCCTATTTTAATGCACAAATTAGTGTACTTTTTTTTTGTATAAAAGTAGATGATATCAATCTTCATATTTTACTTTAGTTTCAATACCTAAGATGGTTCACTTAATCATACACCCAGAAAAAAAAGAACGAAAAAAATCAAGAACATTTTTCTTGATTTAAGAACAATCCGTTCGCTATTTTTTGTTCATGAAAAACGAACGCCGCGGGGTCAAATCATGAACTTTTTGGTAAAATTATGAACGCGTCACAGAAAAGTGTTGAGCTTTGAACGATTGTGGTCAGATTATGAACAAT